ACTGTGGCCAGTCGTGTGTCTACTATTTCTGTCCTGTCCTCGCCTCCTCTCCCTCTAACACCTCCAGCTCCCCACTGGAATGTGTGGGAACGGGATGGGCAAGCAGGAGGACCTCCAGTCAAATATACCCACTTTTAGAGGAGGAAACTGAGGTCATAGAGGACCAGTAACGGAGCCGACGGGACTCTAATTTTTTTCTGTCTTGCTCCAATCTGTAACAAGTTCTCCTAGCGCAGGGACTTCAGTCTTCCTCACTCACTTTCTGGGGGTCTGCCTGCTCAGGAGAGGTAGCAAAGTTCTTGAACCACATGCTCCAGGCCTGCGGAAGGAAAAGGGGACCCTGGGTAGGATCTCAGGAGGGTAAGACAAAAGGATGTGCTAGCTTCTTGGACCTTTCCCCCCACTCTTCTCTTACCCCCTCACCTCGCAAACCCTGTTCCCGAAGAAGGTAGCTCTGCCATGGTAACCCCGAAGAGAGAGACAGAAAGAGAGAGAGGGGGCTCCTCCATGGGGGAAGGCATACTCCATGAACAGTAACATTAATGATAGTAAACATAACAGATATCATAAACGTCAACTCTACCAGGCGCGTCCTTTGCATGAAAGTATTATTTCCTGCTGATAATTTCATTCTCATTTTATAACTGACAAAATGAGATCTGAGAGATTTAATAGCTTGGGCAGGTCATGGTAGGGGAGAGAAGGTGGGGTGAGAAGGTGGAAACTCTGGTTTCCAGGTCAGGGCTTGTGGAGTCAAGGTAGAAGGGCTGGCCTGTAGGCAAAGAGCCGAGGATGGGGGAGTAATGCTGAGAGCTGCACAGTGTGAAGATAACAGGCTGATCATGGGTTCCATCAAGTGCTCAACTTGCTGTGTAACCTAGGGCAAGTTACTGACCTCTCTGAGTGGTTGGGTGTTCCCTAATATCACCTCTCATTCTTTTATTATAGGGCTCTGTGATTTGGGAAGTGGCAGGTCTCTTCTGGGAAAGATATAAAGGGCACAGTTTCCCTCTTTGGGGCCACCTGCTTGAATTCAGTTCTAGGGTCACCGTGAGGCATAGCTAGCCACAGGAGGCTGTGCTCAGCGGGAGGTCGGGCTCGGAGCCAGAGAGCAACAGCACAGGCTTCCTGCCTGGGCTCCATCAACGGATCTATCACCTGGGCTCTCGTTGCCTTAGAGCCAGAAAAATTCCCAGGCCTGCTGTGAGAGAACCAGCACCTGTGAACCCCACATGGCCTCGGGGACAACCAGGTGCCAGGCAGAGATCTGTCTGTTGGGTCATTAGGCAATGAGAGAATGGCAGGCTGGCAACAAGAGACTCCCTTCTTCTGGGACGCCCGGTTAGGGACGAACCAGCTTGGATATCTTGGTGCCTTGTCATCCACGGATCTGAGCTGGGTTTGAGATGGAGAAAGAAACAACCAGCAAGAGTCATGGGTCTGTTGAGTCTGTCCAGGTGCTATGCTCCCAAGCTCTGAAGGCCACGGGCGAGCGGCTGACTTACAGTCTTCTGTGGCTTAGCTGAAGAGTGGGGGTAATAAGGTCAGCTTTGGAGGACTGGCAGAACTTAACAAGCGAATACAAATGAAGTGTCCAGATAGAGCCTTCCGGAGCGTAGATAATAAAGGGAGGCTGCCATTGCTATTGTGGCTACTGTGGCAATAGAAATAGCAGGATGGAGTTCAGTGGTAGAATGCTTGCCTGGCATGCAGGAGGTCCCCCAGTATTGTAAAACAAACAAATAGAACTAAACAAGTAATAACAGGTAAAGATGTACCCGAGGGCCTGGGAGTCAGATTTTGTACCCCCTCTGTGTGACTCCTGGCCTCCTCCCCGGCCCCTGCCTTCTCTGTAGGAGGAGGTGATGGCGCCAGCTGATCCCCAGGCCCCTTCCTCCTCTGACAGCTTTAGGCTATGAATAGAGGGGGCTGGGGCCTGGAGGAGTTTGATGACTCAACGGCTAGGGAGGGCGAGGTTTCCCAAGGAAAGAGTTTCCATTTGTGTCTGGTGAACTTGGGGAGCAGGGAAGGAAGGGTTCCCTAGCTGCGAGGCCAGGCATGAGGGGGTGGGAGTGGAGAATGTGACTAACCAGGTGAATGACTAAGTTAGATCCTGCTGACCTTCAACCAATCAGGGCTGTTCGTGAGCATCCTGCAAGTTGGCATCACTGGGCACTTGGTAGCTCTGCCAGGCTGGGCCTGGGCTTCATAGCATATGGCGGCAAAGGAAGCAGCCAAGAGGCCAGCAGGGACACAGCCCTGGGTGTGGAGTCAGAAGTGCCAGCTTCTTTTCAGTCCTCTGCCCATCAGCTTGGTGGCTCTGGGCAGGAGAGCCCTTCTCTTCCCTGACCTGTACCCACTGCTCGGAGTAACAGAGCTAAAAATCCCACACTGAGTTGTGAGGGCTAAGATCCAACCAAGTGATAACACCATTGTGGCCAATAGATGCTGGCTCTGTCATTCATCCAGCCTTAGCCAGTAGGATTGGCCGCAGGATGTTCCCATGGAGGCAACGGGTCAGGATCAGGCTAACAACATTCTCACAGAGTCCCTTCCAGACATCTCATCACTATCCCAACGACAGCTTCCAGCTAGGTGGCATAACCAAATTGAGAGGTGATAAAAAAAAAAAAAAAAAAAAAAAAAAAAAAATAATCCAGGGTTGGTTGGGTAGTGTAGGGAGTAGGCATTGCCAGTCTGATGGTGTTTTTCTTCTTGACCAGCACTGTATAAATACCAGCAGAAGGGTGTTAGGCTGCTAGTCCCAGTTTAGAGCATCTCTCTAAGTAAGAACCCTGGACAATTTGGAAAGCAACAACACGGTTGGAGGGGAAGGGTAGCACCTGTCATTTCTGCACACATTAAATCCATCGATAGCATTCTCTAGTGCTCACGGTTCTTGGGCACCTAGCTAGCCCTCAAAGTCAGAGAGACACGCTTTGCCTACAGGGACATTAACAAAACACACCCCTTAGGATGTAAATAAGCATTTAAAAGAGCCCATACTGGGTCACCTATGTCATTTTACCAATGAGTCCTGCTGCAGTCTTCAAGGGCAGTGGCCCTGTGAGGTTTCCAAGGGTGTGTGTGTTGGGGGGGGGGTTGAACTGGACCTAGAGAGCTAGATTAGATAGCAAAGGGAATGCAGAAGAAAAGGTGTTACTGGCTAGAAACATATTAAGTATCCTCTGAGGGTTAATGTGGAAGCCACAGAGAGATGCCATCCAAATAAGAATTAAGAAATAAAGTCAGGCCTGGAGGTGGAGGTAGGGCAAGGAGCATGGGCAGTGGGTAGCCATGTGAGCTTTGCTGAAGCAGGCTGGGACAGCTGAGCTTTGGGAGTTTTGTGTTTGTTTTTCCCTGGAAGCATTGTCCCAGGGACGTCATTTTGCCGTGGGTATGAGGCTGGAAGCAAGGAGGTCAGCAGGGAGGTTAAGCTGAAGCAGGAAACCCGGGACTCAGAGGAAAGTTGCACTAACTGGGGAACTGGTGTGGGAAGACAGAGAGAGGCATACACAGGTCCGCTCTGATTTACAGACAGCTAACCTGCTGTGAAATCCTGGGCTAGTGGCAGCGGGATATGGAGGGAAGGGGCCCTAGACCAAACCTGCTCTTTGGGTAGTGTCTGGGTGTTCCTCTCTCTGCAGTTGAAGAGCGCCCGAGCCTCGGAATGGAATTCTGCAGTGGGTAAGACAGTGTCCAGCTCTGTCTTTAACCCGCTTCCACTCCTGTTGACTCCCAGGAAAACACTGCCATCTTCTAATGGGTTTTGCCAAATGGCAATGAGCCCCTGGGAGTTCAGCCAAGGCAGGGGGTGGGGGTCAGGATGAGAAGGAGAGGGGAAGATGGAGGAATAAGCTCCTGGAGGCATCCCAGTGGCTTTGGGGGAAGGTGGGTTCTCAATCTCCGAGTCTAAGCACGTCGGGGCTGGGAAGAGCCCTTGACATCATTTTGGCCAACCTCTACGTGTTGGGACATGAGCCCAAGATTCAGGCAGGAGAAGGGACTTGCCCAAGGTCGGTCATGGAGAGGGTTAGCCATGGATCTGGACTGCAAGTCCAGGGTCCTGGGGATGGTTAAGGTGTGTGATCCTGGCTGGGCGCTGACACCTCAACAGCTTGGTGAAGGGCCTGGCAGGAGATGCCTTTTCTGACAGACATCTATTTGTGTTCTCTCTCTCTCTCTCTCTCTCTCTCTCTCTCTCTCTCTCTCTCTCTCTCTCTCTCTCTCTCTCTCTGTGTACCTGTGTGCCATGTTCTCAGAGGGTCTGGGTGTGCGGGTAGCCTCCTACAGGGTGATCTGTCCTGGCCTTGGAAAAGAAGTGGAGCCATTTCTGTAGGGTGACTGTTTCTCTGGGACACCGGGAAAGAAACCTAACAGGACCGAATCTGGCGTTCAGCCCCTGCTCTGCTGCCTTCAGAGAATTACAGGCCCTGTCTGGTGCGGCCCAAACTCGTGGAGGTGGACACACTCACACACCCACACCCACACCCACACGGACACACGCACCCCACCCCCCTCCCCAGCAGCACTCAGCCGCGGATAGAGAGTGGCCCGTGTGTCGCGGAGTGCAGCGTTCTGGCATCTACGTGCCTCCCCACAGCCCAGCAGGTGTGGACACCCGGGTGCCTAAACCCAACGTCAGGGACACGGAGGAGTGGCACGCTGGGTTCACTCTAGGTGCCCAGCCCCAGGGCCTAGCCCGGCCACACCCCTCCTCCCGAGCCTCGGGCCGGCTGCTCCTGTCCCTCTCACACACTTGAGTCCCCTGGGGTCTTCGCACAGCCCGGTAGGGCCAAGTTAGGGCTAGCCGGGCTGGAGATAGGTCGGAGTCAGGGGTCCCCCAGCAAAGCAGACACGCCGGTTGAGCCCCGGCCGCTGGGAGCGCGCGGGTTCGGCGGCCCGCCCAGCTCCGCAGGGACCCCCCAACCGCGGGCGGCTCCCCAGCATTCCCAGGTCCCCGCCCCCGTCCCCTCCGGCGCGGCGGCGAGTGTAGTTACCGATGGTGGTGATGACGGTGATGGCGAAGTAAAAGGAACCGGCGAAGCGCCACTGCACGCCGGCCTTGTGCGGCTTGAGGCGCAGCACGACGCGCTCCAGCTCCTCGTAGCCGCCCTCGCTGAGGTTGTAGCGCGCCCGCAGCTCCAGCTGCCGCAGCTCCAGCCGCTGCCGCTCGATCATCTCCGGCTCCGACTCCAGCGCGTCGAACACCGCGGCGCCCACCAGCAGGTAGGTGAAGGTGCACACGATGAGCGCCAACGTGCGCACATTCTGCCGCTTCATCGTCCCTCCCGGGTTGTCGCCGGCCCCCCGGCGTCTCCGGCCCGCGCCCCGGCCCCGGCCGCCGCCGCTGCTGCTGCCCCGGAGGCGGCCTGGGGCATGGCTGCGCTCGCGGATCTCCACGCCGGGCACCAGCTCCGCACTCCGGGGCCGCCGCCGCCGCCGCCGCCGCTGCCGGCCGCCGCGGAGCTGTCCCTTCAGCACCACCCACCGCCCTCCTCCGCCCGCCCCCGCGCCCGCCCCCCGGCCGCCGGCCGCCACCTCCCGCCTGCCCTCCCGCCCAGCCAAATAAGGACTGGGGAGCCGCGCCGAGGGCGGGGAGGGAAGGGGGAGCGAGCGGGAGAACCCGGGCAGGACAGAGGCGGGAGAGAGAGAGGGAGAACGAGAGAGGGGGGAGAGCAAGATAGGAGAGGGAGGGAGGGGAGGAGAGAGAGAGAGAGAGAGAGAGAGAGAGAGAGAGAGAGAGAGAGAGAGAGAGAGAGAGAGAGAGAGAGAGAGAGAGAGAGAGAGAGAGAGNAGAGAGAGAGAGAGAGAGAGAGAGAGAGAGAGAGAGAGAGAGAGAGAGAGAGAAGGAGACAGAGATCCAGCCCGCCAGCCCCAGAGAAAACTAGGCAGGAAAACAGATAACTACAGGGAAGGGAGAGGACTGAGGGCAGGGGTGTGTGTGTGTGTGTGTGTGTGTGTGTGTGTGTGTGTGTGTGTGTGATGGAGGAGACAAACCAGAGGTCCACACAGACACAGGAAAAGGGGATCTGGCAGAAAAGATGCAAAGAGAGGGACAGACTGAGGCAGGGAAACTTGGAAAGCCGCAGACACAAATGTCGTGAAAAGGGGCAGAAAGAGGAGAGAGAAGAGCCTTTGCCCTTTGCCCCAGTCACGGTGCTGAGAATGGAGGGGACCTTGGGCGCTACTGGCCCACTCCTTAGCACATGGATGAGGAAACTGAGGCATAGGAGGTGAAGTGACACAGGGCACACTGGTGATAGGACTGGGGCTCAGTCAACCCCCCCCCCAGGTCACACTTCCTTCCCTGTGTTCCAGCCCCTGGCTTATCTTAACTGGCAAGATTTGCTGTGGCCCAGGGTACATGTGAGCCAAGACTCAAGGGGAAGCCTTCTCTCTTGACACAGAGTTCCTTCCCAGGTTAACACCAGGCACTGGCGACTGGCTGAGGCCACCTGCTCCGTCTTGATTATCTATGGCTCTGGTCCTGCCCCAGCATGACAGGCAGGACTTGGGCTGGGCGGCATAGAAAACACGGGATACCACCTCAAGGCACAGAGGAGCAGGTGAGGATCCAGCTGAAATCGGGGCTGCGGGTGGGTGTCCAGACCTAATGACTCACTGACATTCTGGAGAAACTGGGGCAGGGGTCCCTCTGCCTCTATTTCTTCATTTGTCAACGTGGCGGGGGGGGGGGTCTGTGGAGATGAAGTGGGAACCTGGGCAAAGTGTTACTGCTGCCCCACTTGGAGCCTCATGTCCTTATCTCTTCCGTGAGTTGTCATGGTAGATGATCCCTGGGGCCTTACTCAGCTCCAAACAGCTCCGGACATGGATGGGCTGAGAGAGCAGAATGATTGGAATGCAAATCCCAGTGCCAAGGAGGGTCAAACAGCCCTTCACGGGACCCTGGCATAGGCCACATAGAGAGACATGGAAGAGGCCCAAACCCCGTGGCTGGGGAGGTAGCAAGCAAGGGAGGGCACCATCTGCCACGTTCTGGGCTGGGATGTCACTGCCAGACACCACTCTGTGTCCAAAAGCCCTCAGAAGAGCTAACAGCCCGTTCATTCCACAAGGATGCATCCTCGTGTCTTTCGGAGTATGCCACACTCACAATCCTAACCTTTACCTTGGTCCTCAAAAGTGGGTCTGCTTTTACGTAGGACAGTTTTATAGATGGGAAAACTGAGGCTGAAGGCAATGCAATCACTTAGGGTCACTGAGCTGAGAAGAGACTTCCACCTCTTTGTTTCTTAAGCTCACACTCTTCTCCTTAAGTTCTTGAGTGTCGTTTCTTTTTCCTTCTCTAAAATGGGTTTGATCAGCATGTACTAGTCTCCTGAGCAGTTAGCTTTAAGCAATCAAAGAAAACCATATGTGTGTGAGGAAGAACTTGAAGCTCTTTGGTGACCTTTACTCTCTTAAGACTCGGGTGTCTGGACCACAGCCTGACAGAGAGGACCTTGAATTCCAAGCACCCATGTCCCCTCTCGCATGAAGGAAGGGTTTCAACTTGTTGATGAAACAAACTGTTTTCCCTTGGCCTTGGACGCAGCCTGTTGGGTATTTCTGTCCCTGGCATTCTTTGGCTGCAGGAAGAAAAGTCATGCCCTTCCCAGCTTCCCATGGGTGGGGTACAAATTCAGCTCAGTGTGCTCTTGATGTGCTGGTTTCCGGTCAAAATCACCCCAGAAACCAGTTCTGCCACAGCCTGCCTGAATGTGCAAGCTACTCCCTAGAGCTGGGCTTTGGAAGGAATGCTGTCCGGGTTTTCCCACTTCTGACTGCCAGCCTTCGACTGCTATACAAAAGAAAGGCGATATTATTACGTGAAAAAGCGTCAGGACAGGGGAAAACCCGTCTTTGGGGCAGAGCACTTATTATTAATTTTGATGGAGCTTGTTCTCACCGTGGCTCTTGAGAACTCGAAGGACTCTTACAGACCATCTCACTCAGCCTTCTTGTGTTCCAGATTAGGAAACGGAGGCTTGGGCAGTAAGGACAGTAGTGAAGGTCCTGCCGTGAGTAGGATGGCAGCTTGGGCGGCATCCATTATGGATGGGACCGACCACCTACATGTCATGCCCTGAGTTCCAGAGGACAGCTTGGGTCTCCCCAAACATCCTGTTCCTTATGGAGAGAGGGTTGTGATTTAGGCACTTGCTGGCAACAGTCAAGGTTTTTGGTTAGCCCCTGGGACAGCGGGGATGACCTCATCCATCTTCTTTCTGGTGACCTGGGTTGGGTTGTACCAAAGATTTGACAGCGTTGCTTGGTTCCTTCTGTACAGGACCCTTGGACCTGTCCATGTCCACCCAAAGTCGACCTGTCTCTGTCTGTGTTTACTGCAGCATGAGAGGTCAGCCGCTCCCTTGCCTGCTCCTCGAGTTTTATATCCCTAAGTGGAGGGTTTGGACCAGAAAACATCAACATGCCTTTCACTTATAACATCCCATGACCTTCCCGGCCTGATTGCATCTGTTTACTCGGGCCTCTTGAGAATTGGGCAAAAAGGGAATAGCCACTTCTTTGAAGACAAGTTTCTGAGGAATGAGGCAGCAACAAGGTTAGGGTAAATTGTTTAGACTTTGTCATTCCCTGTCATGCTTTATTGTGTACTAAACATTAGACACAGTCATTTCCAGCTGAACATGCTACTCCATCCGTCCGTAATCTCTGAACACATCTGTGTCCTCTCATGTTTCATGAGACTCCAAGGGCTCCAGGGCTCCCATCAGTTGGGATGCTGGTACCTCCTTGCCTCTTCTACCTTCTTATGCCATCCAGCTTAGGCTTTAAGACCCAACCCAAAGGCTACTATCTCCATGAAACACTTTCCAGTCCCACGCCCATAAGAAAAACCAGCTACTTTGACAAGGGTCCTGTACTTTGTGCCTCTATGGACTTCTGAGCTTCAATTCCTCTTGCCAAGTAGATATCTGCACTGTGACTTCCCTATTGACTTGATATCTTTTCCTGGGTAGAGAACCTTTTACAGTACTGTTCTTCCCATAATGCTTTGTATATCAAAGACACACTACACATTTCCTTAGGACCTTGGGACACAAGCCAAGACCCAGAACAGTCCTGTCTCTGCTGGATTTGCAGGCAGATTGAGTGATAAAGGGACTCAGACAGTAGAGTCTGGGACAGAAAAACCTCAGCATCCTGCTTCCATGCCTACAGACAAGATGCTTCTCAAACTGGAGCAAGTCTTGCCAGGGAAGAGAAGGGCAAAGACAGAGTCAAGTGTCTGAAGGGCTAAGGAGCATGCTGCATAGCATGAGGCCTGGGTCATGATGCTAATGCTCCTGGGTGAACTGGGGGAAGCTTTGTGGCCTCTCCGCCTCAGTTTCTATTTCTGAGAAATACAGCATTAGCTGTGACCCAATGATGCTCTTGTTCACTTTACAATGATCAGGTATGTGAACCTGAGGGATGGAGGCACAGAGATGCTCCAGTCCATTACTTCTGATCCCTGCTGCATGGACAGTTAGGTTGGAGACCAAGGGAGGACCAGGGAGATAAGCAGGGAGATGCTGACCTGGAGTCAGACAAACCTGGTTCAAGGCCTGACCCATCAGTTATGAGCTAGCACAGAGCCTTGGGGGAAGTTCTAGTTCATTTGTCTAGAGCAGAGTATAAGTTAGAGCAGGATAGGGACAAGCCTTTCCCCAACTCCTTATAGGTGTGGGCTTTAGCTTTTTAGCACAACAGTCGAGACAGAGAAGGTACTTTGAAAACTTTCCTTGAGCCCTTCTTGCTGGCTCCAATCACCTGGTGGGTTGGTGTGACCTGGGGTTTCATAGAAGCAAGCAGAGGCAGGGGAAAGGGTCTAGAGTCATCCCAGTATCAGCCAGGGAAGGCCTGAGTAGTGAGGGGGCCAGGGTTCAGGACAAAGGCAGAAAAACAGGGATCGCTACTACAGGGTGCCGCGCCAAAGTCATAGCCCTGAACGGCGGGTTGTGGGTGTGACTGAGGGGTTTCTTGGTGTATCTCCGGAGGCAGTGAAGTGGGGGATTAACTTGACTTTCCAGAGCATAACTGGTCCCACAGCAACGGCTTGCATTTGTCAAGAGCCACTGTTTGTTTAACATCTCAAGCCCAAGTCAAACACAAAAGGCAAGTGTTAGCAAAGCCGGGCTCTGTGGGCTGTTGGGGTGGAACTGGGCTGGGAAGCTGAACACCTGGCTCTCTCAGTCCTGCTCTAGCTGGGTTGTGTGGCCTAGGGAAAAAGGCTACTTCGATCTGGGATGATGAGGGCTCAGACTCAAAGGGTGCAAAATCCTAGCTCCTAGTCAGAGTGAGGACCAACTGGAAACCCTACCAGGAATCTCAGGCTTGCACCTGACCGCCATTTGCATAAATATTAGGTCCTCACCCTAAACTTCCTGTCCCATGTCTGGTTGTCCCCATTCCCCCACTAGAGAGCCCTTCTTTCTCTGTCTGT